AGAAAAATCAGTGTTTTAACAGATTTATAGAGGCAATATTTCATTGCCTGTTGCCTCAGATGCTGCTTTTTTCAATTGAGAATTTCCAAATCATGACAGTTTTAGGCACAGTTTCACAACTGTGCTATTAAAAATCCTCTATTAAATATGAAGAGGACTGCCAAAAAATGAGCCCTTAGGGTGGGGGAGTCACACATGCTAGGCCTCATGAGAGTATTTTAGAGTAAATTTTAACATGTTCTTCCTATTCTTCACTCCATTTTTGGGTTTCTTACCTCCAGGAGGGGTGTAGAAACAGTTGAGTTGAGCTTCGTGCACCAAAGTGCCCTTGAACTTCGCCTCTGTATCAGCAGATGGGTGACTGGGAAGCGGCTGGTATGCAGGTATAGTGGGCTGTACAAAGGCTCGAAACATGGTGAATTTCCAGATGTGTACTAATAGGTCGATTTTTTAAAATAAGTAAATATCCTGCTCGTGAGCTTTTCTCCTTATAACTGTTTAAAACCTAGCAACCATTCCCACAGTCACATTTTAGTGCTGTGCCAGTTGATGTGGCCACATTGGCGTATCACTGCAAATGTGACAGTATAATGTTAAGTTTTAGAATCCTAAAAACCACACCTCTTTGTGGTTTTTTTCAGCCTTGTCTTTTTCTTTCTTCCCTGCTGTGCTCACTGCCTACCTAAGGATGGGCCTCTCCCCCAGTGTCTTTACAGGAAAACTGTGATTGAAATGTGAGGTTAATGGTTTCTGTCAGCCTGTCAGTTCATCACCTCCCAAAGGCATGACGATCTCTGGTTTATATTTGTCACCACAGGCTGCTGTGATACGCCCTCTTGGGTAGAAGAGTGATAGGTTTGTCCAGGGGTTGGTGGACCTTGGGCCTACGAGACAGAAAACTTTAGTTGGAATGTGCACTTTAATATAATTCACTTCCCCTTTCCCAGTGGAATGCAGCTCAAGTGGCAAAACTATTTTAGGGAGAAAAAATTAGGCCCAGTGTTACATTTTATCTTGGTGCTACCTTTCAGTAGCCAGGGCTGTTGGTAAATCTGTTCTCTACGGTGCCCCACACCCACTTAGCTATTTAAATTTTATGTTCAAACTAAAAATTAACTACATTGAAAAGAGCTATTTCAAAGTGGTCCATTTTAATCTTAAAGTCAAGTTGCTTAGAGATACATGGTCATGTCCTAAAGAAACCTCCACAATGTCATATATAATCACCTACAAACACAGTCTTCCTTCATTCTTTGACATCTGAAAGATGTTTTCATAGCATTTTCCCTCCCTAAATTTACATTTTGGTTACCTCCTAGTAATGATATTGTCAAATTGCATTTCTTTTTGTATCAACAGTATCCTTGGCATCTTCCCCTTATGAAAATCTAGTTTCTTATGTCAAGTGCCACCAATGTGTAACATCAAAAAAATGATACCAAAATATTTCTACTAACATCTTCTATTGATGAGACATAAGTGGCTGGGTTTTTTTTTCTGCCATTGGGCCTCGAATTTTTTAGCTGCACTGTCACCTTTCTCCTTTGATAGCTGTGAAAGACTCAGTCTCCAGGGAATGAAATGGGTAACTGAAAAATCAATTAGGTCCCTAGTTTTGTAACTAAGATTAAAGCCACCAAAACACATAAAGGCATTCAGACTTATTAAGCAGTTGAATGTCAGGTACTTACAAAAAACATGAAGCTAGGTGGGTTAGTATGTAGGCATCTATGTAGGCGATCAGGGTAGGCAATTAATATTGATGGACTGGAAACAGCCTTGAGTAAAAAGTTTCAAGATACATATTTAATGATCTTCAGATGAAAGAATTTCTTTTTGACATAAAGGCTGTTACAGCACATTGGCTTTAGAACTCAGTCTTCCTTTGAAAGATTGTCATTGTATTAAAGGGCAATATGTGTATGTATTTTTAAGAGGGTAAAACAATCCCTTTCAAGAAAAAGCTGGTTTCTTCCATTTTTTCCCCTTTACACATGCAGGTGGGTAAGATAAAGATTCCTGGCACACTCATTCATACAAAAAAGTTAAAAACCCGACTTCCACCAAGATGGAGGCATAGGTGGAGACGCCGTGCTTTCTCACACAACCAAGTTTAGAGACAACTAAATATTAGCAACAGAAAACACAGCCAGACACAGAAAATTGAACTTTTCGGAAGTCTGATAACAACAAATTCTTCAGCCTGACCGGTAAGAGGGGCGAAACCAGCAGCTGGCAGAGCGGGGTTGCACAGGAAAACTCCATCGGACAGACTTGGGCGTGTGGAAACCAGGTGCAGAGTTGGACCTGGTGAGCGACCCAGCGAGCGGCCACAGGGAAACAGCGAAGGAGCAGGGCTGTGGGTTGACTATGGTCGCGCATTCGTGCGCGGGTGGACCGGTGGACAGGCGAGGGAGTGGGCGATTGGACCGGACCCAGCAGTCCCCTGTGGCAGACGGCAGCAGAGGGCGTGCCAGCTCCCCTCTCTGACCCCACCTCCACATGCAGCGTCATAACCCAGCGACCAAAGGGTCGCCATTTCCCCGCTCTGACCACGCCCCCACATACAGCATCACAACCCAGTGACCTGGGAGTCCCAGGCTCCGCTCCTCATACTTAACGGGTGCGAACAGACCAAAAATGGCTCAAGAAGAGCTCAAAGCCCTAGAACCTATAAATCTAAGCGATGAAGAAATAGCAAAACTCTCAGACGCACAGTTTAAAACACTGGTGATCAGGACCCTCACAGAACTGGTTGATTATAGCCACAAATTAGAGAAACATATGAAGGCAAAACTAATTGAAATGAATGGAATTGCACAGGAAACCAATAGCGATGAAAAGGAAACTGGGACTCAAATCAATGGAGTGGACCAGAAGAAAGCAAATAATGGCCAAACAGAAAAGAGTCAAGAAGCAAGAATTAAAAAAAATGAGGAGAGTCTTAGGAACCTCCGGGACAGCTTTAAACTCTCCAACATCTGAACTATAGGGGTACCAGAAGGGGGAAAGGAACAGCCACCAGTGGAAAACTTATTTGAACAAATAATAAAGGAGAATTTCCCCAATCTGGCAAAGGAAATAGACTTCCAGGAAATCCAGGAAGCTCAGAGAGTCCCAAAGAAGTTGGACCCAAGAAGGAACACACCAAGGCACATCATAATTACATTAGCCAAAATTAAAATGAAGGAGAGAATCCTAGAAGCAGCAAGAGCTAAGGGGATAGTCACCTACAAAGGAGTTCCCATCAGACTGTCAGCAGATTTCTCAAAAGAGACCTTACAGGCAAGAAGGGGCTGGAAAGAGGTATTCCAAGTCATGAAATCCAAAGACCTACAACCAAGATTGCTCTATCCAGCAAAACTTTCATTTAGAATGGAAGGACAGATAAAGTGCTTCTCAGATAAGATCAAATTCAAGGAGTTCACCATCACCAAGCCCTTATTATATGAAATGTTAAAGGGACTTATCTAAGAAAAAGAAGTTAAAGAAACATGAACAGTGAAAGGACAACAAACTCACAGTTATTAACAACCACACCTAAAAGAAAAGCAAACTAAAAGGACAGCTAGATCAGGAGCAGAAACATAGAAATGAAGATCTCAAGGAGGGTTAGCAACAGGGGAGTGGGAGAAGGAGAAGGGGGGAGAAGGTACAGAAAATAAGTAGCATAGACAGTAGATAGAAAATAGATGGGGGGGCAAGAATAGTATGGGAAATATAGAATCTAAAGAACTTGAGACGCATGGTCATAAACTAAAGGGGGGGTAATGGTGGGGACGGGGGGTAGGGTGGAGGGGAATGAAGGGGGGAAATAGCACAACTGTAATGGCATAATTAATAAAAATAAATAAATAATAAAATAAAATAAATAGTTACAAATGCAAAAAAAAGTTAAAAACCCATTCCTACCTTTTGTCAAGTTAATAATTCAGATTTAATAGGTTCCTTTTAAAATATTTGCTTAAAATAGCACTAAAAAGACATTTCCTGTACCTTTTGATATCTTAATCTTTACTGACAAGAAGCAGGAACTCCACATTGAGGCATTGGTGAATGAGTGGGAAAAAAAGTCATAGTTAAAATGTCACAGCCATTTTAATGACCAAATAATATTCACATCATTAAATGTTTTAAAAGTATAAATTAAAAATGTTTTTCCTTTTAAAATATGTTTTGTTGATTTTCATTGCCTTATTATAACACTGCTGCTATTTTCAATGAAGATTTTAAAATGTATGTGTAGTGAGTGCAATATTTACATGATTAATACTACTAGATCCTCAAGTAGGTATTTACACATGTACTTAAAACTGCTTAGCCTGTGCTATAAAAATAATGCAGATAGGCCCATACCAAAGTATACAGTTCATTTGCAAATTGTTAAATGAATCAGTAGCAGCTATATTACACCACATTTTTCATTCATTACTAAATGATAGTCATTTCTAAGCTTTCAGTAGTTGTAAATTTTCTGTACAGACATTTAGAAGTCAGAGATTTATTACTGACTTTAATTTTTCTTGTACACTAACCTAACTTACATCTTACAAAGCCAATTTCAATTAACATTTCAAGAAGAAGGGAGAGGAGTTTTTAGGCCTCATTTGTGTATCAGGTTTCTGAATACTTGAAAACAAAGATGAAATAATGTGTGTGAAATGTGCAAATGGACTATAGAAATATTACACTTCGAAGCCAGGTGTTTAGAAATTCTGATTTCACTTTCAATCTCTAGTCATTTGTTAAGATGCATTTCCCAAATGCCTATTATACTCAGGTACTGTATTTTTAAGGGCAACATTATCGGATGTGGGTGTTTGCATAAGACCATTACAGATTTCTCTGGGACTTAAAAAATTCCGGTGCTAGGTTTTCAAGCTTTAATTCCAATGATTGGTTTCATTTATTCAATAATTGTATATATTTTCAAGATGGAATTTTTTTTCCATTTTGTAGTTTTGAAGATGCTCATGATTTGTTTGATGTGTTTTTTGTAGTGTCCATTTATGGAATTTGGTTTTATGATAAGGAAGAGTGCCAAAGAATTGCAGAGCTTATGAAAAAGTAAGTGCTGAAACACTACATACCATTTTTCAGGACCTAGTGCTTTTGTTTGTATTTCTAGGGATGTGTTACTACACCATAATCTTAACAGAATATATCTCTAATGCAATCCTTTTCAAGTAGTTATGAAAACATTTAGTACTACTTTAGATGAGATCGGGCGCGTTCAGGGTGGTATGGGCGTAGACATGTACTACTTTATAAATGAAGAATAGACATAAATACAACTTTTACATTTTCTCTAGGTAACATTTATCATGTGGAATGGCTCACCTCATTTTTTTCTGCATGTGGGAGATACCTGTAATATGAGTTGTTCCAGATGGCAGTTTTCCTTAATATCTTCCTTATTTGTGGTTTAGCAGTTTTTCCTTTGAAAGTTATCAGTATGTCTATTAGTAAAAAGAACATTGAGAGTCATTTGGAAAGGCAGCTCCAGATTCTCTCAGGTCTTTCATTTTCCTTCCTGCCCTAAATGCTTTCCTTCACAATTGCACATGGTGGTTGTAGAGGCTCAGAATTTCCTCACACCTCCAGCACTGTAAGTGCTTTAAATAGTCTTTGTTTTCCATCTCTTTGTAATTACCTGAGTTAATATTAGTTTAGTGGTCAGTAGATAGTCTCTCTCCACCCCCCACTTCAGTCTCTTTTTCTTCTAATCTCATGATACCTTGTGCTTTGTCCCATTCTGCATTTTGGAGAACTTAAATTGCTGCCTGATTTCCCCACTCTTGGCTTCACTGGTTACATAGAAAGGAGGGCCCAGGTAAGCATGCTGCCTTCTCTGTAATTGGTCAACTTTTTGATCAATTCTTGAGCCTGGGGCTGCGTGCTGTGAGGCAGTTATTTCCCTGATGTTTATGGGGATGGTTTAGCAGGGGTCTCCAACCTGCAACCCTGGGGGTCGCATGCAGCCCAGGGTGGCTGTGAATGGGGCCCAACACAAAATCATAAATGTACTTAAAACATTATGAGATTTTTTTTTGTGATTACATGTTGCAATATATTTAATATGTGGCCTAAGACAACTCTTCTTCCAGTGTGGTGTAGAGATACCAAAAGATTGGACACCCCTGGAGCTTCAGAATGAAATGTTTCCCACTTGTGCTGTGTCTCAGGTGGTGACTGGACTCAGCTAAGCACATAGTATGGCTGTTGCCCACACAATTCGACAAAGCAGTTCTGTATGCAAAAAAAAATCCAATTTTAAATCTTGGGCAATGAAGTTACTAAAAAGTGACCCCCCAAAAAAAACTTGGGGAGCACTTTTTATAATTGATTTCTGAAAATCTAGCTTGTGATAGCTAATTTTAGGCAACTAGCTCAGGTTTCAGATGCTGATTAAGTGTGTTCAAACTGGTACTTACCACTATAACAGCTAGTTCCTAGAACATTCATGTTGTTGTAAACTGTGCAATGGATAATAATAGCAGGATTTTATGTAGATTAAAAATTACCCTGTAGCTCAGCCAAGAGGCCATGTTAAAATTGTTAGCATTCTGCAGTAATTACTTAGCAGCTGGGGCAGGAAATTGATTGTTGACTAGCAGCAATAAGCAGCTGATTTGTATGGATTCCAGCCCTTCCTCAGTTAGAATTAAATCTCAATAAATTCTCAGATCTCTTTGGCCACAAACTTCACGGCAATTATAAAAGAAATTGAGCTGAAAGTCAAAGCACACAAAAGGAAAAAGAATTTTTATCATTGCTACCTAGCAGCATATAGAAGCAATCCAGTCTCCCTTCTGTAGTGTTTTCAGGAACACGGAAGACATGCCTCATTGATCTGTTTTTTTAACGCCCCTTTTCTAGAATGTAATCTCCACTGTGTTTCTGAACTGCTAGGGAAGCACAGGATTTGAATCACTGGAATTAAACTTCTTTTGACTTCAAGGCACTTTGGAATGAAGGGGGAAAGTATAATTTTCCATGCAGCTTGCTCAGTCTTCCAGAATTCTGAAATTGGGTTTTCTCAGCAAGGAATAGTCCTTTCAAATGCTCTAAATGAGTCGGCAAACTTTTTCTTTAAGAGGCCAGATAGTCACTTTTTTTTTTCAAGGCTATACTTGACTGTGTCACAGCTACTCCACTCTGCAGTTGGTGTGAGAAAACAGCCGTACACACAGGGGCTGTGTTTGTCAGGGGGGCAGTAGAGGCTGATTTGGCCTGCAGGCTGGAGTTTGTCCGCCATTATTCTAGACTCGTATCAAGTCAGTGTACGCATGACTTTAAGTCTTACCTTTCTTCTGTTAGTTCTTAAGCAGTCTTATTTCTAATAGTATAACAGGACAAAAACAAGTGGATGAGAACTGAATGATTTTTAAAAATCATTTGTGTTGAATTGGTTTTTCTTGCATGGATCTTCCCCTCTACTTTTCTAGCCTAACTCAGTATGAACAGTTGAGAGCCCATCAAGGAGCTGGAGCAGGAGTCTCCCCAATGATCCTCAGTTCAGGAGAGGGGAAGGAAGTAGATATCTTACGAATGCTCACCAAGGCCAAAGATGAATATACAAAGGTGAGTTTTTCTGTTCCCTTGTGATACATACTTAATTCCCACAGAGGGAATATACTCATTAAGAAAGACTTAACTGCTCTTCCTTCCACCAAACAAAATCATGTGAAAAATAAAATATTTGCTTTTAATAGGCTAAAAAAAGACTGTTTGCTTTCAAATGGATTAAAAGGTAGTCTGAGAAATCAGTAACCTTCATACATACAAATAGTATCCAATCAAAAGATTTACTAGAAGACCCCATAACAAACTAATATAAATTCTTTGAATTAAAATTCAAGGAAGCAAAACCTATATAAAGAAAACTTTTAAACACTCCTGAAAGCCATAAAAATAGACTTCAACAAATGGAAATAAATGTCATCATCTTAGATAAGGAGATAAAACTTCAGATTCTCACTTCCCCATAAATGAATCTATAAATATAGGATGATTCTTAAACAAATACAAACTGGTTTCTTTCTTCCTTTCTGGGGTCAGACAAGTTGACTGTATGGTTCATGTGGAAAAATACACAACGAAGAATGGGGAAAACCCTGGCAAAGAAGAGCAATACTGGGTGTGAGAGAAGGGGGAACAAGCTCTACCACCTCATGTGAAGTCATTAAAGCCTAAACACTTAAAACAGTGTGGTATTGGTGTTACACGTAAACGACCAGGTAGACCAGTGGGACAGATGAGGAAGTCCAAAATGAGACCCCATGTATAAGAAATTTAGGATATGATAAAGATGAAAATCCCAAGTCAGTTACCTGAATAGATTTTTAAATAAAATGATGTTGGGATAACTGGTAGCCATTTGGAAAAATACAAAAATAGATATGTATCCCATGCTTTATGCAGGATAAATTTCAAATGTTTGAGAAATTTAAATGTAAAAATAAACTATTCAAGTTTTATTTGAATACCAGAAGAAAACTTGTATGGATTTCTTTATAATCTGGGAAAGGAGAAATCTTCCTAACTGTAATACAAAACCCAAAAGGCATTAATTTAATTACATGAAATAAAATAAATCTGTTGCATGGCTTTAAAAAACCACAAGCAAAATGTAATTTTTCAGCTGTCATGGGATATAATAAATGAGTACTATGGACCCTTTAACAATGTAGGGGTTAGGGGCACTGACCACCCTACACACACAGTTGAAAATCCACATATAACTTTTGACTCCCCCCAAAATTTACCATATTTTTTGGACTATAAGACACACCTAGGTTTTAGAGGAAGAAAATAGGGGAAATTTTTAAAGCAAAAAAATGTAAAATATTTAATAACATAAAGAACATAATATCACCAATACTATGTAATTACACCCATTGGCGAAATATCACCAATGGGAATGTAAACAGAATTCAACAGCAGCATTAACAACCATTATTACTGACTTTAAGCTTTAAGTACAGAAACTCCTCTAATCATCAGGGAACCTCAAGCACTCCTCGTCACTACTGTCCACATTTATGAAGCTCAGTTCCTCAGAATCACTAGTATCACTGTCTTCACTCTGTGCATAGAGGATGTCATCTTCAGAGCCATGTAAGGCATTGCTGGTGCCACATTTTTTTGCAGGGCCTCACAACAGTTTCATCCTTAACTGACCTCCATGAGCTTTTCACCCACTCACAAACTTGGGTAATCGTGGGCCTCTTCATTTGTCCAGTTGTCAGATCAGGATCTCCAGCAGCCATCCATTTGTTCCACTCTTCTCTCATGAAAACTTTAAGTGGCTTGTTGATGGAAATGCCCAAAGGTTGCAACTGACTGTAAGCCCTGCAGGCTAGATGGGTTTTCTCTTCTTTAAATCTCTCTTTTGTGGCTTTAGTGATATGTGTCCTAAACTGGTCAAGCACTAACAGAGCAGGTTTTTTCAGAAGCCCTCCAGGACATTTGGACCACACTTTTTCTATCTATATCTTCATGCCATTTTCAACCATCCATCCTTTGTCATGAACATAAACAGTAACTCCTCTTGGGATTGCCTCTTTTGGCATGTTTTTTTCTCTTGAAAATCAGCATTGGTAGCAGTTTGTTGCCAGCAGGACAACACAACTGCGTAATGTGTTTTAGCATGCCCTGAGGTTTTCACGGTTATATCACATCAGCAGTCTTGTTTGATGGAATATCAAAGAAGGTGTTCCATCAAACATTAACAGGATATTAACTGGACTTTATCCATGTTCCCAATTGGTTTATTTCAAATCCATTTTTCTTTCTTGCATCCAGTACAAATTTGTGAAAATATGCAATCTTGGATTCATATTCTATAGGCGTTTTTTGTGGAGTCCTGGTTTTGGTGCTCATAGCAAGGCCACATCTCTTCATAAACCTGTGGCACCATGATGGTGATCCAGTGAAGTCCTCAACACCTTTCTCTGCAGCAAGATGTTTGGCTTCATATATGATCATTTTTGTGGCTACTAAAAAGCCATTGTTCCCATGACATGTGATCCACTCTTTCATATCCACTTCTAACTGGGGCCATTTGGCAGCATGCCACGAAAACATTGTTTTTGTTTTGTCTGTTTTTTGCAGTTGATCCTCCTGTGTCCTCCATTACCATGTCATTTTCATGGTTGGAGGTGGTCCAAAGTGTCTCTCTGCTGCTCTGTTCCTATGTTCTGGTTGTACTTCACTACCTCCAGTTTAAAAGGGATTTTATATGAAATCCTTTTCTGCTTTGACATCTTTCCACAATTACAGTAGATTCAGCAGGAGACTACAGGACACTATTGTATCTTTCTACAACAAAGTATGGTAATGACAGAACAAGCAGCACTGTGTCCTTCATAGTTATGGGGGGTACTTTAGCTGATAACATCAGTGGATGACACACTGTTATGGGGGGATCTGCTGCTGACATTGTTATGGGGGAGATCTGCTGCTGGAGGGCCACAGGTTACACAACACTCTTGTATGGGGACAGCAGTTTTGCACAACCCGTGTGGCTCTGCAGCTGTTGCCAAATTACAGCTCCCATCATCCCAACCTGCCCAAGTATGATGGGAGCTGTACTTTTGCAACAACTGCAGGGCCACATTGACAGGTGACCCTGCAGTAGAATTTGCCTATGTTAATGTTAATAGGGGACATACCAGTCACGTGATGGAGGCACATAAGGGCGCCACAGGCTTTCTTCTCTTTACACACCTGTACCACCTGTACCCTCCTCCCTATCACTATAGTATGCCATAGCAAGGACTCTGCTCCTGCCTCCCTTGCTTCACACTGCCGAGACACCCCTCCTCCCAGCCCAGAGCCCACAGCAATGCTGCACTCCTAGCACCTCCGGCTTCCTGCCCCAGTGACCCTGCTCCTGTTTCCTGTGACTCCACTTCACTGCCGCCCTCCCCATCCCCCACCCCTGCCAGCCAGGTATGCTACATTCAGACTATAAGATGCACCCCCTTTTCCTCCCAAATTTGGGGTGGGTGCATCTTTTCTTAAAACTTATTTTTATTTTAATTGTTGTTCAAGTATAGTTTTCTATCTTTTACTCCCAACCCACCCACCCAGCCTTCTCCCCTCCCTTCCATTTCCATCCCCCCTCCCAGTTTTTGTCCACATGTCTTTTATACTTTATACAGGAAGGGTTCCTGTAAACCCTTCCCCTTTTCCCCTGAAATTCTCTCCCCTCTGGACACTGTCAGCCTGTTCTGTGTTTCCGTGTCTTTGGTTATATTTTGCTTGTTTGATTGTTTTGTTGTTTAGGTTCCCGTTAAAGCTGAGATCATATGGTATTTGTCTTCCACCACCTTAGCATAATGCTTTCCAGTTCCATCCATGCTGTTGCAAAGGGTAGGAGATCCTTCTTTCTTTCTGCGCTATAGTATTCCATTGTGTAAATGTATCATAGTTTTTTGATCCACTCATTTACTGATGGGCACCTAGGTTGCTTCCAGCACTTGGCTATTGTAAATTGTGCTGCTATGAACACTGGGGTGCAGAGGTTATTTTGGATTGGTGTTTCAGGGTTCTTAGGGTATAATCCTAGCAGTGGAATTGCTAGGTCAAAAGGCAAATCCATTTTTCCTTTTCTGAGAAAAATGTATACTGTTTTCCATAGTCGTTGTACCAGTCTGCAGTCCCACCAACAGTGCACTAGGGTTCCCTTTTCTCCACAACCTCTCCAACACTTGTTGTTGGTTGCTTTATTTATGATGGCCATTCTGACTGATGTGAAGTGGTATCTCATTGTAGTTTTATTTTGCATCTCTCTGATAGCTAGCGATATTGAGCATCTTTTCATGTGTCTCTGGATCCTCTGTATGTCCTCCTTGGAGAAGTGTCTTTTCAAGTCCTTTGCCCATTTTTTAATTGGGTTGCTTGTCTTCTTAGAGTGGAGTCATGTAAATTCTTTGTATATTTTGGAGATTAAACCCTTGTCTGCGGTATCATTGGCAAATATGTTTTCCCATACAGTTGGTTCTCTTTTTATTTTAATACTATTTCCTTTAGCTGTGCAGAAGCTTTTTATTTTGATGAGATTCCATTCGTTTACTCTTTCCTTTATGTTTCTTGCTGTAGGGGACATATCAGTAAAAATGTTGCTGCATGAAATATCTGAGATTTTTTTGCCTATGTTCTCCTGTAGGATTTTAATGGTGTTACGGCTTATGTTTAAGTCTTTTATCCACCTTGAATTTATTTTTTGTGTATGGTGTAAGTTGGTGCTCGAGTTTCATTTTTTGCATGTAGCTGTCCAGTTCTCCCAACACCATTTGTTGAAGAGGCTATCTTTACTCCATTTTATGTTGCTGACCCCTTTGTTGAATATTAATTGCCCATAGAGACTTGGATTTATTTCTGGGCTTTCTGTTCTGTTCCATTGGTCCTTGTGTCTCTTTTTATGCCAGAAACAGGCTGTTTTGATTACAGTAGCCTTGTAATACAGTTTGGTATCAGGGATTGTGATCCCTCCTACTTTGCTCATCTTTCTCAAAATTGCAGCAGCTGTTTGGGGTCATTTATGGTTCCATATAAATTTTTGAAGTGTTTGTTCT